GACCATTTATTTCATAACCATAAACGTGATTTTAATTTTATATATCACATAATTTAAAAATAAACTGTTTATCAGAGTGTGTAAGTAAGGGTTGGGAATAGCAAGTGATGGACAGGAGGAGAATAGAGAGGGCGGGGCTTCAAGGAAGGGGCGGGGCAGTAGATCTTTACCTGTTCTGAGATTTAAAAAGTGATCTTCAGTGTAAAAAGGTTGGAGACCACTGCCATAGAGTAACTTGGGCCCACTGTAGAGAGAAACTGCTCCGTGGCAACCTCCCCGTTCCTGCCCCAAGCTGCTACCTCTGATAGGGGCAGCACTGGCTCCTGCCTGTCCCCCACCCCCCTCCTGCTATCTCTGTGGAAGGCAGCAAGGGGGTGGCAGGTAGCTCCATGGAGCCAGCACACACTGAGAGCCAATTTCCCTCATGTACCAGCTCCCACCTGCCTTCCTCACCGTCCATGCTGCTGCATCTCTATCAGCACCAGCTCCTGCCTGCTGCCTTTGATACAAGGGCGAAAAGCCCAGTCTTATTGGTGAATTGTGTAGTTAGGAAGAACTCCAGCTGCTTTTGCGGAAAAACTTGTCAGTCTAGACACAGCCAAGAAGTATTTATTCCCCTCTCATGTGTGCTTATTAGGTCTTAATGGAGTATTCTGTCCAGTTTTGGGTTCTATATTTCAGCAACAATGTGGACAAATTGAAGAAAGTCCAAAGAAGAGCAACAAAAATGATTAAAGGTCTAGAAAACATGACTCATCAGGGAAGATTGAAAAACCTGGGTTTGTTCAGTCTGAAGAAGAGACAACTGAGAGCACAGTAACAGAGGCAGCAGCATGGCGGTGGGGGAGGCTGTTGCAGAGCAGCATCTGTACCTGGTGAGCCTAGACCCACTGCAGGCAGAGGCTGCTCCAGTTGGGCAGGCAGCCTGCCTCAGTCCTGGCTCAGGGGTTGTCGAGGCTTTTTCCCCACTCTGGCATGATAAATGCAGAAGTGGGGGCCCGTAAAAACCCCAAAACCTTATCTTTCCAGGCTTTGGTATAAAGCTTCTCCCCAAAATCTTAAACCCCTAGGTTTTGGGGATAAAAAATCCACTATCTACACCACCCAAGTAATAATAAAGAAACCAGGGAAAGGTTACTTGGGAAATCTCAACCCCAAAAGTAAAATCAGGACACACAAATTAACCAATACCAGGTTAATAAAAAGAAAAGAGAAAGACCTTTTATTATCACCACAATATTCCTGTTGCAAGCATATGACTAGATGGAAAAGTCACACATTAATATACTCATGGGGGTATTCCACCATGGGCCAAAACTTACAAAGGAGAGGAAAACCCTTTTTTAAATGCACAGACATCAGATTCCCATTCCCAAACCATAAACAATAAAACCTAACAGATTTACCTAAACTTTACAGCACTTACAGATAGTGAAGAGTCTTTTCTTGGAGGGAGACATAGTGTCTGCCCCCCTCAGTAGCTAGAGAGAAACTGCCCAGGGACAAAGAAGGGAAAAAACACAAATTCCTTTGTCCCAGTTTGAAATTCCTACCTACATTCCTGTTGGCCGACTCTACCTGGCTTAGGTATAGTTAACTCCTTAGTCCCGAGGCTGCTGGCCTTCTCTCATGATCATGACAGGGGTAGATCCCAGACCCACTGCAAACCAGGACTGAGTCGGGCTTGCTCCATCCTGGTTTGTGCTGGGTCTGGGCTGCCTACTCACCTAGCTCTTACTACATTTAAACTGCAGAGTTGCAGTGGGGGTAGCTTCTGGACCCGGTGTGAGCTGGAACTTTAACCTCCCTTATCGACTACACGATTAGCAAATTACCCACTTAACATTCCTAATTCTGGATCCAACATAGATACAACAGCACTGAAAACATTTGTGGGGGGAGGAGTCACTTTCACTAATCCCCATTAGCAAATGACAAGTCAGTTGACTTTGTGCCTGCTCTGGCATATTTACCTGAGTTTTGAAAAGTTGATTTGGCTCAGTCATGTAACAAGTATTTTGAAGTCATTCCTAACTCATTTGGAAGACTGGTTGCAAGAAGTGTGCTCTGCAGTCTCATTATTGTGAAATTTACACACACACACACACACACACTATAAAAACTAAGTTGTTATATATGTTATATACAAACATACATACACTGATCCTTTCCTCTCTGCCTGTTACTTTTATCTTGCTACCAGTCCTCTACATCATGTGCCCTGAAAACTCAATGCTCCCTGAAGCTCTCTGCCACTATATGCTCCTGAAGAATAGACACACATGGGCTGCGTCTACACTGGCATGATTTTGCGCAAATACTTTTAACAGAAAAGTTTTTCCGTTAAAAGTATTTGCGCAAGGGAGCGTCTATACTGGCATGTGCCATTGTGCAAAAGATTTGCTTTTGTACAAAAGCATCCATGTCAGTGTAGACGCTCTCTTGTGCAAGAAAGCTCCGATGGCCATTTTAGCCATCGGGCTTTCTTGCACAAGAAATTAACGTTGCTATCTACACTGGCCCTCTTGCGCAAGAATGCTTGTGCAAGAGGGCTTATCCCTGAGAGGGAATGTCAGAGTATTTGAGTAAGAGCCACTGATTTTGTACATTACAAAGTCAGTGTTCTTGCGCAAATACTTGCGGCCAGTATAGACAGGTGGCAAGATTTTGCACAAAAGCGGCCACTTTTGCGCAAAATCATCCCAGTCTAGATGCAGCCATGATGAAAAATGTATTTCTCACTGTTTCTGTGAGGTTGGTGTTAATGCCACCCTAAGTACACTGCATAGCTCAGATTTGATTCCATTATACTGTTTTCCAAATACTCCTAAATAGATAGCCCTTAATATTCAGTTTGAATTAAATTGTTACTTGGAGGCTCTTTATCCATCCCTACTATCCCTTAATTATTATTTGTTAACATTATTAGATTATTAGATAGTCTAAATCAGTGTTTCAAGACCGAGGAACACAAACAATTTTTTTAATGGGGAACACCAAAGATTTTTGTTGAGCAAAAAAAAAAAAAAAAAAGGAAGCTTGCCCCTTTTAAGCTTTTAACCCCCTCAAATAACTTTTCCCACCATCCTCCTACCCATAGGGGATGAGTTTGGCCCCCACCAAACCCTCTCTCCTCTGGTGCTGGTCTTTCCCCTGCAGGTGTCTGCCCTTCTGCTTCACCCCCAGAATCCCCTGGCACCTGCACCCTCCTGGTGCTTCCTCCTTCCCTCACTGCCCCTGCCCTTTTTCTACCCAATGCCATTCCCTCAGCACCCTCTACCCCAGTTCCTCTTATTCCTCTCTGTGCCCTCACACATGACTTGCTCCATCCCCTTATTCCTCATGCCCACCCCTCCTTTCAACCCTTCTCCCAGCACATTCCCCTCCCCTTGCTTCCTCTTGCCCCCAATGCCCTTCCCCTCTCCTCTTCCAGCATCACCCTGTCCCCTCCACCCTCCCACCAGTAGCCTGCTCATTTTTGACACCTCATTAATATGTATAAGCAATCATTAATATGTATGATTTGTTATGAATATGTAGTAGTTTAGGAATGTTAATATAGAAGTTTCTAGGAATGTTGCACACGGCACGCAAGTAACTGCACATGTCACACTGTGCTGCTGCATGCAGCACACTGATCCAGGCTGTTACAACTTGTTTATCAAAGCAACCAATCAGGGACGCTTGTTTTCCTGTACAGGGTCCAATGATTTTAAAGATAAAGATCATGAATATTTATGAGAAGGGTGCTTTGAAGGCCTGGCTTACAGTTGTCTGTGTTCGTTCCTGCCACCATTGTCCCTGCTTGTCTCCTGTCTGTTTGTGTTAGTCTCTGTAGTTAGTTAGGGTTAGCTAGATCTCATCATCGAGTGTGTCCGTTAGGATTAGTGCGTCGGTTCACCGTACCAGCGGCTGGGTACTTGTCCATGACGGGAGCGTCGAGTCTAGCTAGTCAGGTTTTGTTTCCAGGTATTAGGGATAGGTAGCTGTCTATCATCGGTTCCTGCTAAAGAGCAGAAGCCACCTGAAGATCAGCGCCAGGCAAGTCTCCACCAAGTGATTCCTGCGCCTAGGAGCGGAAAACAGCACCAGGCAAGTCTCCACCGGTGATTCCTGCGCCTAGGAGCGGAAGGCCCCAGACGAGGATCATCACCACCTGCCTGCACCATACCCGTCCCCAGGGTCTCCGAGGGATTGCCTCTCTGTTCCTCGCTGAGGGCTCAGAAGGAGCCTAAGGCTTGAGGTCGAGAGCACCACAGCGGGTCACGTAATTTATAGGAGTAAGGTACCACCAATTGTACATCTATATGCACTAATTCAGGCTTCAAAGTATCAAATTTATTACATTGAGCTTTGTGCCTGTCGAGAAAAATAAATAGTAAATATTTTAGCCTCATTGTGGATACCACTTTTATCTAGAGCTACAAGAGAGGGAAAATATATAAAATAGACATGCTTTTTAAAGTTGTTATTGACATATGAGCAGAAGTTATGTAATTATCTTTTGTATAAACAACATTGTGGAGTTTCATATGGTCTCAACAATTTCATGAGCAAATCTGCTCAGTTTACAAAATCTACCTGCATCTATTCTGACAGCCCTGCAAAGGTACAAGCTTCCCTCAGTGTAACACACTTTTTTTTTTTTTTTTTTTTTTTTTTTGTTTTTTAATTA